TAGCCAAACCAACGAGGTCCTACGCGAAGAGTTGAGTAGAAGCAGTATATCTGCCAGAACGTATTGCCGAAAGACAGACACACTCTAAGAAAGACAAAAGTACCGAGAAGTGAAGCGAGAAAGAAGAGCAAGCGTATCACCTAGTACCCACCATAACCTCCACGTCGCCCACTCAACGGCACCCGAGCATGCCACTCATCATCTTCATACTGGAAAGCCGAGTCCCTCCTACCCATCATGTTCGAGCGTCTGGCAGATCGCTCTTTCTTGTCCTGGATGTGCTCAAGAGCTGCATGGATGTCATTGAGTGCGAATCGCGCATCCAATTCGTCTTGATCTCCAATCGCGCGTGGTTGGGGGTAGCTGTAGCCTGGCTCGTGCCTATCCGCGAGGTATGATGAGGCGCGCACTGGCTTGGGTGGGAAGTGTGATTGCGCAAAGGGATTGTGGATGGTGGGTGGGTTGGCCATAGTGGCGCGGCGATTTGGCAGGCTTGGACGAGTGGTGTGGACTGGGTAATCATCAAAGTATGACTCAGGCTCGTGCATGTGTGCGCGTGGACTTCGGGGGTGTGGGTAGTCATCTACTGTCTCTTTGTGGTATCTGACCTTCTGTACTCGACGGTGGTCAACATCTTCGTCATAGATGTGGCTAGGATGCGGCTGGCTGAACGGGTTTGGTGATTTTCTTCCATAAGAGACCTTCTGGCGACGGTGAACGTGCGTGAACGAAGGGCGGCGGCGTATAGGAGTGTCAAAGATACCATCATCTGCTGTGTGGACAGATGTAGTGTTCATAGACTCGGTGCCACTTCCACGCTCTGATGATGAGTTGGAGGTCTCCCTAGCCATGCCGTGCGAGAAGTACTTTCCAGATCTCTTCTTCTTCTCGTTAGAGAGGCCAACTGGTGAGGCATTACCGGAACGTGTTCGGTCTTCCACAACGTTGTTGGTGCTCAAGTGGATATGAACAGGCGGCACTTTGTTGTGAGAAGACCGAGAAGAGTCGGTAGTGAAGGACTCTGGGCTATGCCTACCATTGCGTTGATCATCAATTATGTCTGAAGTCCGGTGTCGACGGGTGGTCTTCGCAACATATGGATCAACGTTGTTCTTGCGTGCACGGCTTCGGCTACGACTACGGCTGAGGGCTCTAGCTTTGCTGAGTGATCGATGTCTCTGAGTCTTCTTCGATCTCTTTCCGGGCCGCTGACGTCCTCGTCCACGTCGATCAAGATCTATATGATCATGTTCAATGTTGACGAAGCTGGAATCTTCCGATTCAGACTCCCAGGAGTCACTGTCGGATGATGAGCCAGAAACATCGCGACGAGCCCTGTGGTTCTTCTTGTGATGTCTGAGGTGATCAGGATTCAAGCCTGGGACGTGCCTCATGCCATTTAGCGGAATATGCATCTGGCCTGGAAACGCACCAGGCATTGGCATTTGACCAAAGGGCGGGCCATGGGGCTGGCCATGAGGAGGTAGAGGAAGCTGCGCGGGCGCGCCCGGCATGGGTTGGCCCACACCATGTGGTGGGGGTGGTGGACGACCCATGTCGTGTGGCGCAGGCATCCCCGGAGGCGGGGGTGGAGGAGGAGGACCTCCAGGAACTGCCATTGGGTTCATGTGGCCCGGGTTTGGAGGATGCTGTCCGAAGTTTGGCACGCCAGGATGTTGTGGTTGCGGCTGTTGGGGAGGTCTTTGTTGCTGTGGCATGTTTTGGCCGGGGTTGTGTGAGGAGTTCGGGAACTGTTGACCTTGCGGGTTTCCTGGTTGCTTGTTCTTGTTTGCATCTTGGGGTCCATTGCCCGCACCTCCCACAACAGGTCTCGCTTGCATAGGCTCTTGATACCCAGAAGGTTCAGTCTCCAGAATGATGTCTACACGCACCAGCTGCCTTTCTCGACGGTTGACCGAGCGCCATTTGTTTACAACGCTTGCAATTCTGTATTGAATAGTTCTATTGTACCTCGCAAGCTCAACGTTCTGGTCCTCAACGAGCTCGTTGATGATTCGGCGACAGTTTGGGGAAGGGATCTCGTTCATCGCCTTCTTGACGTTATTATGGTTTCGACGAAACTTGTGCAGTTCGCTGTGGAGTTCCTGGAGTGCGACGTGTTGTTGCTCAGGTGTTGCATCCTCCCAGGAAGTGGCGTTCCTTGGCTTCTCTAAGATGAAGGAAGCCAATTGGGGATCGTAGTTGGCGAATGGGTTTAGAGGTTGCTGTTGGGGCTGAGCTGGCCTCTGCTGAGCCTGTCCAAAGTTCTGCTGTTGTCCAGAGCTCTGCTGCTGCCCATTCGGGACTTGTCGTTGTTGGCTGACATTCTGATGTTGATGGGGTACATGACCCTGGTACTGTCCCTGCTGTGGAGTCGCCATTAAATGGTTCGTAGAGGTTATGGGAGGGCTATCTTGAACGAAGGAAGTATAGCCGATGACTAGATGCTCAAGTGACTAAAGACTTGATGCCAATGATCGAAACAGGCAGGGCAATGTGATGAAGACACGGGAAGTGAATGACAGGGCGAACTAGAAAGTCTAAGGCAGAAACAGGAGGACGTTGACCGAAGATATAGATTGGGAAATTCTTGTCATACTGCGACATTGTAGCTCTTGATCTTTGCTCGGAGCAGTAGTAACACTTTGTTGATGCAAGCGAGGTTGTGGTCCCTCTAGGAGTACAACAGCCACATCCAGTCGTTTCCCCGGGGGGTCTACATGAAACAAGCGTTAATTGGTCGTATCGAAGGGCACTCGCAAGCCCCACTTGAGGGTGATATCAAGGCTCTCACCGGTCTAAGCCACCAGGCTGAGGGGGATAAACAGGCAAATAACCCCGCCCTCTTGCGTGAACGCGCAGCATAGCTTCGTTGCTACACGTCTTGAGGCTCAACTTTGACCGGACCAGTTAAAGATCGTATAAAATATGCAGAAGCCATGCGCATGCATATTTGAGGACTCATAGCGGCTGCCTGTTTTTGCATGCAGCCTGACGGTGTTTGGTGTTTGGATAAGGTCGCATATGCATTACAGCTGCAATCGTTGGGATTCGCCGCGAATAATTGATGTAATTCTTGCTTTTTTGGCCTGCCCTCCGTGGAGCTGGATACATGAAGTCGTCGAAGTGTGAGAAACGTTCACGGTGCCAGCGCGGAAGAAGCGATCATTGATTGACCACGCTAACGGGGCGTCATGACCCCGCTTTTGGCCCGTGCACGGCTCAACACCCCCTTTCGCCTCGAGCCCAGGTGCCAGCCAAAAGAAGGCAACTGACCACTACAAGCCACCATCGCAAGGTGTACGGGAAAGATGAGGACCCTTTCTTTGAGTAACGAGTATCAATGGCTGAGACAGCGTCCTGCTGACGTCCAACCCGCCTGCTTGCCCTTCGTTCCGCTCGGCCAACGCATCCAATCACCACCCACAAGTCGAGGTAAGAACCCGCTGGTTACGCCAAAGTCTTTCAGTCACTGGTAGTTGTACCTGGTGATACGCATGTAGACCCCTTATCTGTGTCTGCACTTATACCACCCAGCCCGGCTTGCATCACTGCTGGGCGTGTCGTATGTCAAACATTTTGGTACATCGCCCTTTGGTGTATTGCAGTGCGATTCGATCTTTCCAGCCGATGTTAATCCGCCTACACTCCAACATGGACTTCAGACCGTTCTGCGGTGCGGCTCAGCGCGCGTTCGCGCAGCGTCGATCTACTACTGCACATCGCGTTGCTGTCGACCTGTTTACTGCAGTTCGACGCCCTTCCATGCAGCTCGTGCCGCCCTCCAATCTTCAGCTCTCTATCCAACCAATGTCCTTCTTGCCGGAGGCCCGCGGACTTGATCGCATTTGGAGGCCTATCGAACACACCGGATCCACCGCGCATGACATGCATATCCGCGGCTGGATGACATCTTTGACACGCAGCCTTATGCACGTCTGGGTTGCAACACCACAACCGTGTTCCAGAATCGTCTCTAATAGGTGAGAGCGACTGCAACTCTTACGAGTAGCCGCGATAGATATACAACATCGTTACACTTCCTGATATTCGCTCACCGGACGCAGACACGCCCTCGCTCATGCACTTCTATCATGAAGATCCTCCATATCAGTCTCGGACCGGATATGTCGGCTTGAATCATCTCTCCCGCGTTTTGAGGAGCATAACCAAGTCTCCGGTCTGAGCCAGTAGTCATACAAGTGCATTCTATTGAGAAATCATGCGCCCACAAACAGCCACCTGAGCAAGGATGCAATCCTGCACCAGACTTGATACCGACAAATCTGCTAACGAACAGATTGAAGCGCGCCGGAAGTACGAGACATCTTGATCGATATGGAATTACTCTCCGAGCCACACGGCACTTGAGAGGCTCGGCATCTCGCTGGTACGATCTGCGGGTACGTACATGTCTGAGACACGGGCGAGCATCACGGCTTGCCTACCACCCCGCACGATCGCAGCAATCCGCCGACTCGGTACCGTTGCCTTGACCGCCAGATTGATCCTTCGACAGCCAAGCTCTTACATCCGGCAGGCCGCGGCAGAGGCAAGATGGCGTGGCATTACAGGACGATCTTAATCACGCTTTCGGTTACACACTCCGAAGCAGTGACTGACAGCTTGCGATCAACACTAGACGATCCGATGAGAGCATGTTGGGATGACCTTCCAGCAGCCAGAGACAGGTTTCTGGATAACTTGATCCGTCGGGCGATATGCAATGCATGCGCGGGGGTGTCATGGTGTGTCACATAACCAGCGTCGCAGAGCCTCAGACATTTACGATGGCAGCCTGGTTCGTTTACGTGTCGCCACCAACTGCTTACTTCGCTTGCAAATTATGCATGAAGGGTACTGGAGGACCACGAGCGAGGAGGATACGGATATTTCTCGCCTCAGAACGGGGTCTTCGAACACGATGCATACTGGATAAAGTGCGCGCCCGATATGTAACGACAAGCATGACCGGCTTATGGCCCTAGTCTTGCCTTCTATCATGCCACAGGCAAATTCACATGCGTGCCTTGCCGCTTGAACCTAAGCGTTCGAGCGCCCCACCTCTCTTTGGCTTCGTCTAGTTCGAAGACATCCTCCCAAGGCTCGCCGACATCAACTTCATCCTGCTGGGACACGTTCGTCCAAGCATCATCAACTTCCGAAGCACTGCTGACGATCTTGATACCCATCTCCTCCGCGATTTTTCTGACATCTTCGGCAGCCTGCTCTGCGCTTTCGTATTCGCTCTTCCAGGCTTTGAGCAAAACACTTCCAAGCCTAGCCTCCTCTAACACTTGAAGCTGATCATGCCAATCTTTTGCTGGCTTCGGTGGGCCGCCTTCAGGCGAAGAGAACGGGTCCCAATCTATGCCCCGTTTCCAGTGCGCTTCGGCCGTGTGAGTATTCGTCATAAGTTCCCAGACAAAGGTTGCCCAGTAGAATCTATGACGGAATCATACAGTTAGCGAGGCGTCGCACGTACGTCTTGACGAATGCGAGAGCGATGATTACTCACAAGGATTCACGATGACTTCCACACGTTCGAGGAAAGTTCGTGGGATAGTCGTCGTAGTATATAGTGCCGCCGTCTCCCGCCCATTCACAAGTATCCCAACCACCGGAAAAGTCTTCCGGGATATCTTCGCTCCCGTCTTCGCTCTCGCTCTCACTCTCGTCACTAGGATATTCTGAGATTGGAGCCCCCGCAGCGCGCCATTTCTGGACTCTTCGCTCTCGTCTCTCGTACCGCTTCTCCTTTCTCCAAGCCTCTCGTCTACTATCGGCATCAAGCTCTGGCCCATCAACGCTGATGAAACCTGAAATAGCCAATGAATAATCGTGGCGCAACCACACATTAGTAGACGAGAAGAACGTCAGGTATACAGAGCGAGAGTGGAGGTAGCTAATGGCGGACAGCGATTGTAAGGCCCACCGATAGTACAGGGCCAGCATGATGTGGTCCTCTCTTGAAGGCTCTTCTGGAACAGGTACAGTCATGGCAGGAAGATCGCCCCAGTGTGGGCCTGGACCAAGTCTTTCGACGATCACTCCGTTACCGGCGTCGCTATATACAAGGCCGGTACGCCTGCAATCGCGTTAATATTAACAGAGTCCTGTTCAACACTTCACATACCGAACAATCCTTGGATGGTCTTCGCCAAGAAGCTCATAAGCTTTCCGTAGCCGTTTGATCCCCCATTCTGGTCTAGCCCTTGTATCATCATCTTTCGGTTCGTAGATGATGATGCTCTTCCCATCTTTGTGCGGTACTGCGCGTGCATGTTCCCAGAAATCACAGTACCAGCGTCGGGTGTCTTCTGGCTCTATGCTGGCTTCGGGGGGATAATATGGCAACTGCGTTGCAATCGTTCGCTCTTCATCTTCAGGCTGCGGCCCATTAAGATATGAAATTGCCGAACCCATTAGGCGGCACGGGAATGGATGCTAGAATTTTTGAATCGCGATGCATTGCGTACTATATACACTGACCCAGGTGTTGCCGGTTGAGGCAAGCGCCATCGCGCCTAGTGAACCGTGCCAATGATGCCTGCTTGGCAGCCCCATCAAGCTTGTCCTAATCAGACCTGACTTTGAAATCCAACTTCCCGTCCTTGAACTCGAAAACATCCTCCCACTTCTCACCAATGTCAACCTCGTCGCCAGAGATGGTTATGCCCACCTCAGCTGCCGCCAACTCGATATCACGAATGACCTCATCCACGCTGCCATATCGATTATGCCAAGCGCCAACCAGGATATGTCCCAATCTAGCTCTCTCTAGCTGCTGGAATAGCTTGCGCCGTTGTCTCTCATCGATAATGTTGGATATATTTGGCGAGTCTTCTATCATGTAGCCTCCTTCCATGGGCCATGCAGGCTCCCATAGTCCACGAAAAGGCCCACGACGCGATGGCGATACAGCAGTGAAGTCGTTCGTCATGAGTCGCCAGACGAATGTAGCCCAGTAGAAGCTAGAGTGTGAAGATAAGGATCAGCAATCTTTTGTGCGTATACCGTAGTGAGCCCATACTCACAGGTCTGCCTTTACACTCCCTTGCACACCTCCTGTGTAGTAACTTTCATCAAAAGAATCCTCACCATGTACCATATCATATATCATGTCGTCCGCTGCCCACTCACCCTCGCTCCAACCGCAGCTAGCGGTGCTCTCTATCTCTCGCCCATTTTCATCTATGAAGTTAGCTTCTCGTCGGGCCGCCTTAGTGTCTTCTTCAGTATCTTTCCAGAGCTCATCCTCTATCTCCTGTGCACTAGCGCTGATGAATCCACCCACTGCGAGCGAGAAGTCCGGGCGTATCCACACGAGTTGCGATGAGAAGAAGCCAATGCACATGGATCGAGCATGCATGAACCGGAAGGCGGAGAGTGCCTGTATCGCCCATCGGTAATACAGCGATAGCATGATCTTGTCGTCGTACGACATCGTTTGCGCTACCACAGGTACTGTCATTGCAGGCACCTCAACCCTCTTGAGTTGACCCGGTTCCAGCTTCTCAACGACTATACCATCACCCGAAGTGCTGTATAGCGCGCCTATATACCTAACAGATTGAGCGCGGCTAGTTACACGAGCAGAGCCATACGTACCGAGCAATCCGTGGGTGTGGTCCACCGAGGAGCTCGTACGCCTTTCGCAAGCGCTTAATTGGCCAGCCATGCCTCGATCTGGGGTCTGGATAAAAGCCGTTGTCTTCATCGCAGATGGGGGTGAATATGATGACTTTGTCCGTGTCTTGGTGTTGTACGCAGTCCGCAACCTCAAACAAGCGTTCGTACCAAATGGTGGGATTCGCTTCGACGGGGACAAGCTGGCCGTTACGCACATACGGGTATCGATTCGGGCCATCATAAGGAGGTCGAGATTCTGGCTTCGAAGACTCGGGTGAGTTGATTGATGAAAAGGTGGAGCCCATGACAGTTGACTGATGATGGAGTTGTTAAAGTCTGCGCTGGAAGAAAGCTGGTAAAGATGATGGGGCTGGCAACCAGATATATGCGCTTTCAATGAGAAACACCACGTCCCTAACATTGCGGGCAAACTATAGCCGTGTAGATTGCGATGCATCATAGGTCAGTCTGGAGTGGCAGGACAGAGAGACGGGATGAAGGGGCGTCCCGAAAGAGTAAGATCTGCGCTTGATGTAGAGATACCTGCTTGGCACATATAAAACCAACAAAGACCACCAGGCACCCACTCAAGCTGTCGGAAACGATTAGTCGACCGAGTATTTCTGCGGATTAACGCGCGACTGCCAAAAGTATTCCGCATCCTCGTTCACCTCGCCGGCCCCTCCAACGTATTCCGTCGACTAGGCATCCTCGGATCCCTCTTCCCCATCGTAACCTCAAGCGCCTGTATCAAAGCCGTGCCATCATACCTAACAAAGTTCTCGCCCTCATGTTTCTTCCCATAGACGCGAATAGGTTCAATACCAATACTCTTGAGCTCGTCTCGATCGACTGCCGGCGTCCCTGGTCCTTGGAGATGTATGATGTGCGTGACGTATTTCTTATACTGACTCTTGTTAAGAGGCCCAAACACGCTCTTGGAGTCTTCACATGCTTTCGCGATAGCGGCTACGAAATCAAGGGCGGAGTAGGGGTTGGACGACGGTCCTGTCTCGCGATCGATGGTCGAGTTGAGGATGAGGATCTTATAGCGGATCGCGGGGTTGCTGATGGCTTCGCCGATACCTTTGAGAACCAATGAAGGGATGATGGATGTGTAGAGCGAGCCGATGCTGTATATGACAGCCTGCGCGTCGTTCAATGCATTGAGAACCGTTGGGTTCGCGGAAAGCCGGATCTCTTGGCCATAAGGATTGATATACCAAAGTCTTTCGATTCTGGCTGGCAGCTCCTCTTCATCCGCTTTGGAGAAGGTAATGTATTGCTTTCGAAGAGTGGGTAAAGATCCGGGTAAATTGGCGTCTTCGATTCGATCGTGCTGTTCGGTCTCATCGATTATTGGTGCACCTCCCGATACCAGGGCTGTGGATATGGAAGGGTGTGAGATGGAGTTCTGGCCGGTGATGGTGTCGCCGTTTGCGAGGCTGACTGAGATGTGGTGCGTGAAGTTGGTGTTGATCGCCGGTAAGACTGATGTGTGACTGGGCACAGAACAGATGCTGGAGAGTAGATAGATGGCTGACTCAAATGAGCCAGTGAAGAGTCGAGCGCTGTGAGTGTCAGCTTCGAGGAGTTTGATGCGGGTAGGTGCGCTGAGGAGGATACGCTATGATAAACGTAACAGAGACGATGAAGTCGGAAATTGATCGATCATATGGATGGTACAAAGCAAAATGAGTGCATGAATTACATACCCAGTAAGAAACAAGTTACCGATACTCGCACCTGAGAAGTCAAAAGTTGATGAGGGCCGGCGACGCTTGACGATCTCGTATGCGACAACATTGAGTATCGATCGTATAAGCTCTTTCTTCGCCGTCGAGATGTTTGTCCAGAGTGCATGCTCAGCCTCTACAATCTGCAGCCATTCATCTCGGGCTGAAGAGCGTTCTTTGGGCAGTCTGTGGTTGAAGAAGGTCTTGATAGCTGCTTTTTCGCTATCATCGTGATCTGGGTCATCCGGGATCAGGCGGACAAGACGACCTAGACCGGTTAACATCTAGACCGTTGTTCACGAAGAACATTCTCGTACTTCTCACATCACCGATACCTGTTCATGTCAGTGTTGTGTTATTCCTGCCTTAGACGGCGCATACCTGGTCCTCCGAAGACGCGTATCAGCTCAGACGAGCTGCCGCCGTTATCACTGATAGGGATGACATAGCTCAGCGGACATCTCTTGTCTTCTCTGACTTTCTTAAACACATCGACTAGATTGTTTGCAGCGCTTCCGCCCGAGAACACGACGATGCCTTTGCTTTTGAGGTTGCCGTTGGACACCGGCGAAGACGGCGTTGCGTGGTCGCCGTTAGGCGTAAGGAAGTTCTCGGCAGACATGACGAGATGCGTATAATGATGGTTGACCACAAGGGTCGTGGCGCGGGTTTATCAAGTCATGGTAATGTTGACAGGGTGTTCGTAAAGGTGGATGCCCTTCCATGAGCTCAGAATAGAAGAGGCAGGAGTCATGCACTAATCCATTAGGGTAGTGTCACGCGTTACGCGACTAGGCAATATCTCGCATTTTGAGCACAATTTGGTATAGGCGTTTGATTGAGATTTTGCATTTGTAGTTGGTTTGGAAATGAAATTTGTACAGAACGAGTCGCCATCCAAGATGTGGTAGAAGGCTGCTCTCAACGCATCCAACCCCGCTCATATTGCATGCCCATATCCGCTCATCATGGGCGCTGGAAGTAGCGCATGATAGTCTCAGTCCCATTGTAGTTGAGATGACGCTCTGGCCGTGCGTGCGATGCCCAGTTCCAGCTTCCCCTACCCCTCACACCACTGTCTCTTGCCATTGCAGGCCACGGCCGCCTAAGAAGTACCAGCGGCCTCCTCTCGCTCCTTCCTCCGCGCTCGCTTCTCGAGTAGAGCGTCTCGTCGGTCGGCTAGAAGGCGGAATTGGCGGTTCTCAACGCCAGTGAGCCAGTAGCCGAAGCTGCCACCGGCGCCGGCGTAGAGGGGGTAAACCCAGAGGGATTCCTTGTTGAAGAGCGGGCGCATCTCAATGCCGAGTTGCCATAGCCGGGCGGCAACGCCTAGCATATGTCGTCAGTAGAGGCCCTTGGGGTGTGCGCAGGCGGTTGGGGACATACCGAAACCGCTCCAGAAGAGGATCTTGTGAACCATGGTGAGCGGGTGTAGTCGAGGTAGTGGTGTCGGTGGGAAAGACTCCTTCTGTGCTGCAGCAGCAATCGGGGCGGGTGTCGTGAGGGCGCGTTGTCACCGCTGTACCAGCACTGGCTTTCTGGGCTGCGATGCTCCATCGTCAAGCTCCGGGACGCCAAGAACGAACCACCCACGCGGATGCGGAACCAAGGTCCGCCGACCTCACCTCCGCGACAATGCCGCCTTCGCGCCTCTCCTGATACCGTCGCTCACTTTTTAGCTTTCGCTCTACAATCCATTCACTATTACCATTCTGAGCTGGCGCACCAGCCTAGCCCCCTACGTCATTCGCTGCTCGCCAGCCTTTCCCACCCCCGTCTTGATGCGCCGGGCCGCAACACAAACGACACAAAACGACTGATCGCAATCACGTAAAATCAACCATGGCGGAAGTCGGCCGCAAGCGCCCAAGTGAAAGCGATGGAGCTGCAACTATGCGCAAAAAGCTGAGGCCATCGGAACTGCCGCTCTCACAGGCGAAGCGATCGGCCATCGACAGCCTGGTGCACATGTTCCGTAAGAAGGGCGCATACGACGACATACGCAGAGACTTGATGAAGCAATATGTGTCAGGAGTAGGTGGCCAACGATTGATTATTGTTATATGCTAGGCTAACCTTCGCGTGCCAGCCTGCTAAGGATGAACTGCAAGCCGCCCTCAAGGAGCTCGTCGACCGCGAAACCGACCGAAATCCCTCGCTGCTGTCCAAGGATCCCCGAATGGCGACTACACTTATAGAAGGCGCGGGTGAGCGCAGCGACATCTACGGCAACATTATGAACACGGTCAACACCCTGCTGGACAAACTGATTGATGAGCATGGCGTACCGAAAATGCGCGAGTACCGCATTGCCGAAATAGGCGCTGAGGCGGCTGCTGAAGAGGAGATGCGAGGCAGTAAGAGCGAAGAGGAATGGGCTAGAGAAGCAGACGCTCGTCGAGAGAAGCGTGAGGCCCGGAGAGAAAAGGAATTGGAGGCAGAGCGCGAGAGAGAACGTGAGGAGAGGGCAAAGAAGGAAGAGCGCAAGCGCCGCGAGAAGGAAGAGGACGACGCCCGTGAGAAGGCGCGACAAGAGGAGAAGGAGCGCAGGCGCAAGGAGCGGGAAGAACGCGACAAGGAAGACGAAGAGCGCCGACGCAAGGACCGAGAGAGAATTGACAAGGAGAGAGAAGAGGAGCGTCTACGCCGCGAGAAGGAGCGAGAGGAGCATGAGAAGAGCCGAGAAGCCCGTCTCAAGAAGATCCGCGAAGAAGACGCTGAGCGAGAGCGCCGTCTACAAGAGGAGCATGACCGAGATCGCGGCGGTCGCCATCGCAGTGGTCGTGGCCGTAGCAGGACTCCCGATCGTGAAAGGAACCGGCGTGGACGAGACAGGAGCAGGCGAAGGAGCAGGTCAAAGACCAGGTCGCCTGAACGCCGTCTGTCAATCAAGCCTGAAGACATCAAAGTTGACGATGAGACGGCATTGGCGCTCCTGCTACAGGAAAGTGAGCAGATGAAGAATTCACGACAACGGAGGCCTCTGCTTCCGCGATCAGAATCACTCGAACCACCTATGCGAAAAGCTCAGCCTCCCAAGTCGCTTGTTCCCCGCGATCCCGTGAAGGCTCGACTGGACAGGCTTGACAGCAAACCTGAAAGGTCACCCAGCAAAGACGCAAAGTCACCCGCTCCAGGTACGCCAACTGCGGTTGCGAAGGACGAAGATACCACAATGACCGACGCCCCATCCGCAACAGAGGCGGACAAGGGCCGATGGGATGGCAAGCGACCTGAGTTGCCTTCGAAGCGTGGCAGATCCCCCAGTGTCGCACGCAGCACGAGGGAGCGTAGCAGGAACCGATCGCAGTCC